CACCCGAGTTTCGTCATAATTTTGCCTTTAGATATGCTTCGATCATTAGTTCGTCCGAGAGCTCCCTTTCCCAGTCCCAGCTCGGCTTCCACTCCAGCGGGTTGTCACTTCGGCATCCCAGCCTCCTCAACGTGTGCGCTAGGCTGCTCTCCACGGCCACCCTCGCTGGTTCCCCTTCCACCGCGCTGAGGGCCCGGTCCACTTGATCGATCAGCGCCGCCGCTGCGTACGTGTACGCGTGTTCCATTCCCATCCCTCCTCTCTCCTTCACATCGTAAATTTGTAGTCGCGGGATTCCTACCGAGTACCCTTTTGCGTTTAGGGCGCTCGCCCTCACTTGTTCGATGCTCTGGCAGTCTTCCCATGTGATGACCGTGGACCGGCCGTAGTAGCCGATAATGCCGCTCAGTGCTAGCGCCATGTTGCGTCGGATCTGCTCTCCTGTCAAGTGCGGTAGGTTGCCTATGATCCAGATTACTCTCTTGCAGTCCGCTACGCACCGCTCCCTCATTTCCGTCTGGCCCTCGCCGTTTGCCCACCCGGTCCTTAGCTCCGTTCCGAGGTATTTGTATCTCTCGTCTCCCTTCAGCTGTGGTATCGGCATGCCATCCGGCATCCTCATTTCGTAGCCCTCGACATCCCGCTCTTCGTTGTTCTCCCAGTATGTCGCTGACCACGCCGATTTCTTCTTCTTTTTGACCTGGAGGCTGTTGCCACAGATCTTTGTCACTAACCAGGCGCACTCTAGCGCGAGCTGCATCGTGGCTATGTCGTTGCTGAGGAACAGGCCGTCGTCGGCGTACACTAGCTGCGGCACGCTCTCACCCGCCGCTGTGAAATCAAATCCTCTACACAGCTTACTGACTGTTCGCTGCATCACGGCCAGCATGAGCTTGCTACGTGCGGGCGAAAGGAGGCACCCTTGGCCGAGGCCTTGCTCGATGGGAAATCGGTCGCTCAGTCCATAGCCCGTCTCGTATCTACCTTGGAGGGAGGGTAGCTCCTCCCCAAGTCCTTCCCTTAGCGCCCTCATCACAGCTGTCACGTCGGGCGGTACCCCTGCCCATTGTTCCACCTTCCATTGCACTTCGTGTACTACACTCATAAAGTAGGTCCCGAGATCGATGTATCCCCTCACGCACATCTTTCTCTCTATCATGCACTCTTCTGCGTGCAGGCGCGCGGTGAGTGTCTGCGCTGGCGCGTTCTTCCCGGCTGTGAAGCCGCATTGCGATCCGGGGACTACTCTCGCGCACGCTCTATCGTATTCGGGTAGGAGCATGCGCATGAGACCTTTTAACGACTGTGGCTGGACCCAGAGGTCGCGCCTTCGTTCGAGCATCGAGCTCCTTCGGGTCCTCCCCCGGCTTCATCGCTAGCATCGCAATCCAGTCATTCCATTCCCTCGGATACGCTTCTGTCTCGACAATCTCTACCAGCAGACGCCAGTAGTCTCTTTGAATGTCCTCCGTTGCTATGCGCAGTAGGTATCCGTCGAGTAGGTCCGAGCCGACCGCCTTGCCCTTTTTGAATCGTCTTATGGCCTTCTCGCACGCTGCCCACGTGAGTACCTCCTCCTTCAGTCGTTCCGTCCCCTCGCTCGGTGTGGGTTGTCCCCCCGTCTCGGGTTGGGTCAGCTCTAGCAGCTTTTCTACCGCCTTCATGTCAACCTCTCGCTTCTTATTAATCTCCCTCCCCTTTTCCGCTGCCGCCTTTCGGATTGCCCCCCCTCGGACAACCTTCCGCTTCTTCACCTTCTGCTTGGTTCTCGGGCATGTCACCTCTTCTTCTCCCTCGACGTACATTGCTCTAAGCTCTCCCCCCCTCGCCTTCCTTCCTGACTCGGTGTGTACGATGTCGAATACCGCGATGTGTACGTTGCCGTGCAGTTCGACGACCACTTCTTCCATCTTCTCCGTCAATCTCTGTCCTCTCTCCACCTCACAGTCGAGGAACTCGGAGGTCGCCTTCCCGATCTGTGTCTCACACTCCTCTAGTAACGCTTTCCGTCTGTCGCTGTTGGAGAGGTCCGGCGTGTCAATCTTCTGTAAGAGGCTGCTGAGACATTCCTGTGTCCAAAATCCCTTCCCCCCCCACTTCCTTGTGTATGCCGTTTTCAACGTTCCGCTCCATTTTCGGACCGCGTGCGTGATCCGTCTCCACTTTGCTATCTTCCATCGCAGCGACGCGGATGAAAAAAGAAAGAAAGAAAACAGACAACCCAAGGGAGGGATGGGAGGACGGCACGCCGCCACCACACAGGGATTTTAAGGAGAGGAGTGTGATGCGCTAGCCGTCGCCCACCCTAGGGAGTCTGCCTCTTCCTATCTCTTTTCGCAGTCTCTCGCCGATTCTCGCTGCAACCTTCATGCCACCTCGCGGCCGTCCCACTCTCGTCGTTCTCTCCCTTGTCACTTCCTCCTCTGTCGCGTCATTCTCTTCTGCCTCGTCCTGCGGCGCCGCCGCCTGCCGTTCCCTTGTTCTCTCGGCTTCTTTCGCCTTTCGGCGCAGCTCCGCCCTCCTTGCTGCATATCCTGGCCCCTCGAGTCTATCGAGCTCCCCTCGCGCAAGGACCACATTTCTGACTCCCACTCCGATCATTTGCCTGCAGGTCATGTTGTTGCTCAGGTCCACTCTCTCTTCGCGACGCGGATGATGTCCCAGTGTCGTGCCGCGACAAATTCTTTTTTGATCGATGGCCGATGGGGGCCATTCTCCAGCTCGCGCTAGCCTCACTCCTTTGGCTGCAGCCACGCGCTCCGCACCACCTGCTCGGACGCGCACCTCTGCTCTCCGGCGCCGGCTGCGGCGTCGCTGGCTGTCGGCGTCGCACTCCGACGGCGCTGGCACCGACCCTCTCCCTCGCGGCGCCCTCGTCTTCGTTTGCGGCCGGCCCCGAGCTGTCGGTGTTCGAGCTGTGCGCTGACGGCCGCGTCACGCCGTACCAGAGCACGCTCACGTCGATGCACACGCGCCTCGGTGTCCGGCTCTCGGCTCGCGACGTGCGGCTGCTGCGCTCCTCGACGCCGGTGCTCGCGGTGCGGCCCGGTTTCGTGCTCTTTGACCTCGGCGAGGCCAAGGGCGTGCTGCTGCACGACCGGGTGGTGATGGTGGGGTCGGACCGGCAGAAGGTGCGCACCATCGGCGAGGAGGTGCAGCACCGCCTCGACGCCCTCTCGCGCGCCGACGGCGCCGAGGAGTACCCGTTTGAGGTCCGCGTCCTCGAGGCGCCGCGAGAGAGCACGTGGCGTGTGGCCGCCCAGGGCGGCGTCACGGCTCACGGGCCCGCGGCGTGTGCCCGCAGGCTGTGTACGAGCTCTCCTTCACGCTGCTCGAGCAGTCGCTGCAGCGCCTCACCGGGCTCATCAACGACCTGCTCACCGCGCTGACCGACTCGTCGCCGGCGCAGTCCGACTCGCGCCGAGGCGCCGCGCGGCCGGCGAGAAGCCTCTGCGACGCGCCACGGCCAGCGCTCACGCGCCGCGCCGGTGCGGGTAGGCGCCGCCCTCGGCCAGCTGCTGCCGCTCCAGATCTCGCTCAACGACCTCCGGACGCGTGCGCGCCGGCTGACGGAGATCCTGCAGGAGGTGCTCGAGAACGAGGCGCGGGGAGGGGAGGGGGGAGGGGGGGAAGGGGAGAGGAGAGGCGGAAACGGGTGCGGTCACGCGCCGACGGCACGCACACAGGACGAGCTGGCGGGCATGTGCCTCTCCCTCCTCGAGCGGAGGAAGCAGTCTGTGCCGCCCGCCGGCATCGCAACCGCTGCCGCGACCGCCGCCTCCTCCACTGCCGCCGACGTGTCGGCGGCGGCGGCGATCGGGGCGGGCGGCGCGGCGGACGGTGGCGCGGCGGCAGTTGCGCGCGAGGGGAGAGACGCGGATACAGAGTCGGAGGCGGAGGCGGAGGCGGAGGCGGCGGCGGCGGCGCTGCTCGAGGCGGAGGAGGAGGAGGCGGAGGCGGAGGCGGAGGTGGTGGAGACGCTGCTCGACGTGTACCTCGCGCGGCTCGAGGCGCTGAACGACCGTGTCGAGAGGCTGGCCGCCAACATCGAGACGACGCAGGGCGCGCGAGCTCGCCCCTCGACCCTGTTGTTGTTGGACCCCCTCTCGCAGCCCTCTCTCTCTCCATGTCTCCCCCCAGGCGTGCTCGAGCTCACCCTCGACAACGAGCGCAACCGCATCGCGCGGCGCCCGAGCCGCCCCCGCGGCCACGCAGGCCTTCGGCGAGGGGTCGGGCGAGGCTCACGCGTCCTCTCCCCGCCCCGCAGGCTCGAGCTCCTCCTGTCGATGGCGGGGCTCGCGGTCGGCGCCTCAGCCGCCGTCTCCGGCTTCTTCGGGATGAACCTCGTCTCCGGCCTCGAGGCGGCGGCGCGCGGCTTCCTCACGACCGTTGTCTGCTCGCTCGGCCTCTCGGCCTCCATCTTCGCCGCCTGCTGGCGCCGCTTCCGCTCCGTCTCTCGCGAGCAGCGGTCGCGGCTCAACGACGTCCAGGCGCTCAAGTCGGTGCTCGCGAGCCTCGACACCGTCGGGCTGCTGCTCCGCTCGCGGCCGCCGCTGCCCGCGGACCCGAGCAGGCTCAAGTTCGAGCTGCAGTCGCTGCTCGCTTCCTCGGGGTTGCCACGCTTCGGCGCGCCGCCCGCCCGCGCTCCCCGGCCGCACCCCCGTCGGTGCAGCCGCCGAACGGTCCCCGCGCGCGCTTCCGGCTTGCCTCAGGAGCGAAGGAGCTCGCGCTGCTCGGCTCGATCCTCTCCCGACAGCGCGAGGCGGAAGAGACGCACCCGACCGGCGACATGGACGCAGTGCAGGGGCCGCAGTGGGCGTGGAGCAAGACGCCCTTCGGGGGCGGTTAGGCTTAGGAGGCTGCCACAGACGACTGAAGTTAAAGGACAAAGAGAGAGCTTACAGCGTTGTCCGCGTGAGTGGCATTGCTAAATGCGGCATGAGGCATAGTCGAATACGGGCGTACATGTTTGGAGTGTCGTGTGAAAAAAGCGGCAATTTTGGGCCAGTGTAAATAAAACGGAATCGCCTCGGCGAATTCTTGTTTCGCAGCGCGGCCCCACCTCCTCGAGCCACACCGCGGGAAACACGTGTGCCTACAGGTCAACGCCGTAATGCCCTGCCCCAAACTGGGTCCGGCACCCACCAAGTTTGACGAGGTGTGCTCACGAGTCGCTGCCATGGAGCCGATCATGCCGATTAATCCTTCCTACACGGCCGCCGCCAACCCTTGCGTTGCCTCGCTCATCGGCGTCCAGCCTCACTGCCTCCCGCTCATCTATGTCATCTCTGGCTGGCACATGTTCTCCGACGAGTCGCTCGGCTGGTTGAAGACGATCGATGGGGTGGAGGTACGCAGCGGCCCGTGCTTCGACGATTGGCCTGACGATTCTGGAGCGGCGCGGTGGGTGCGGGCGTGGGAGCCGATGCCACAGGAAGGCCGTGTGATTCTCGCCCACTGCAACAAGCTGCTGAGCTGGTACCCTGCGTTTGCGGGGCGGTACACGAGCGCCTGGGGCAAGTCGTACGCTCCTTGCAAGGAGCGCTCCATCGCCACGCTAAAGCCGGGCGAAGACTACTACCGGGATCGGATGTGGCAGGTGTGCCGCCCACAGGCGCTGGCCGCGCACGACGCGGCCATGGGCACGGGCGGCGTAGGGCTCGAGGCGACGCCGCCCTTTGTCATGCGGGCCCTCTACGGCGAGCGCGTGCGGCTGGTCGCGGCGCTGCGCAGCCCGGTCGACCGGCTGGAGACGTCCTTCTGGGTCCACGCCCACTACCCGCGACGGTACGGCGCCTCGGCCGAGGGGCTGCACGCGTACGTGACGGAGCAGACGGCCGCCTTTTCCGAGTGTGTGGGCGAGCACGGCGCACGGCGGTGCGAGGCTCCCATCCCCCTGGTATGGAGCCTCTCGCGGACCTCTCCCGGGTCGTGTCTCAGGTGCGCCTTCCTGTTTGAGCTGCTCGACCGCCGCTACTCGGACGTCTTCTTCCACTGCGACCAGATCATCCGCGGGCTGTACCAACCCTTTGTCGAGGACTGGCACGCCGCCTTTGGCAGCAAGGCGCTGCTCGTCCTGCGAGTCGAGGACCTGATCGAACGGCGAGGGCACCTCACCCGGTCGCACCACCCCCCACCCCAGGCCTCCCACCCAGCCCTACCCTCCCCACCGACCGACAGGCCGGCAGAGGCACGCCGCAGCCTCGTCGCCTTCCTCGGAGGCGCCGTCTCCGCCGCCGCCGCCGACGCGGCGCCGCTGCCGCCTCGCTCGTACGCCGCGCTGCACGCCGAGTCGCTGCAGGCCGCAAAGGCCGTCCCGATGCGCAACGACACGCGGAGGGCTGCGGAGGCCTTCTACCGCCCGTTCAATCTCGCCCTCGCATCGCTCCTCGGCTGGCCAGTGCGCGAGGCGTGGCAGCACTCTTCGGCTGCCTCGGCGAGAGTCTGAGTCAGGAGTACGATGTCGATGAGAGCGAAAGGACTATCTTCAAAAGAAGAAAGAAAAAAGAAAATCGGCCCGCGTCGTCGTCGCTGGCCCCGCTATACGGTGTGTATGCCGGCATCGCGTACCGCGCGGACCGCGACGAGGCCCTCTCCCTACGCCCGGCCGGCCGCCCGAGAAGAGCGGCGCGGCTCCTTCTTTGGCCGGGCGCTCGAGATTGCCACCGCGCCGTTCACATACCTCCTCGGCGGCGACGAGGCGGAGGCCGAGGGCGCAGCCAACGGTGTCGCGGCATCGGCGAGCGAGGGCGTGGAGCAGCCAGGACTCGCCCGCGGCCTACCCTCGTCCGCTCTCCCGGCCGCCTCCGCCGACGAGCAGCCAGCGGAGAGGGCCGAGAGGGCCGAGCTGGCGGCCGCCACACCAGTCGCCACGCCGCCCGCCTCGCTGCCGGGTTACACGTCGGTGCCGAACTCGCTCTCGGCGCGGGGGCTGCGCGAGGGGGATCGCGTGCAGGTGCGCGACGACGGCGAATGGGCGGGCGGCGTGGTCGCCGGCTTTGACGAGGCCGGCCGGCCGTGCGTGGTCAAGGACGGCTGGCACGATGCCTTTGTGTGGCGGGAGTGCAGGCTGACCGAGAGCGGAGCGACCGGGTCGCCGGCGCCGCTCGCCGGCGCCGCCTCCTCCTCCTCCTCCGCCGCCGCCGGCCCCTCCTCCTCCTCCGCGGCGGTGCCGTTGCACGTCCCGGCTGCACGGCCGAGCGCCGCGCCTTCGCTCTGCGCGCCCGTGCCGGCGCCGGCGGCGGCGCAGTGGCCGGCGGCGCTGATGCCGCCTGCGGCGGCGGCGGCGTCGCAGCAGGCGCTGATGCCGCCTGCGGCGGCGGCGGCGTCGCAGCGGCAGGAGTGGGACGCGGAGAGCGTCCGCCGCGCGACCGTCGACCTCGTCCGCCAGCGCGTCGCCAAGGAGCGGCGGCGGCCGTACCCGTTTGAGGCGGTGCCTCCCGCCCTCGCCTACCCTCAGCTCGCGGCGGGCGAGGAGCGGCCGGGCGAGCCAGGCGTGTCCGCCTTCCAGACGCCGCTCTCCATCGCGGCCGCGCTGCGCGACGCCGAGCGCGTCGCCCTCCGCCAGCCTGCCGGATGGTATGGCGCGCTCGGGCCGGGCGCGCGCGCCGCGCCCGCGCCGCGCTTCCGGCTGTGTGACTTCGCTGCGCCGCCGACGGCGCCCTCGTCGCTGCCTCCGCTGCAGCCTCTGGGGGCGGCGTCGCGCGCGGCGGCGACGGAGGCGGCGCGCGAGGCGCCGCTGCACGTCGGCGACCGCGTCGAGGCGCGCGACGCCGGCGGGAGAGTGGCCGGCGGGAGAGTGAGCATGGTCGGTTGACTCGTTCCCCCGGCTGGGCTGTGTGCTAGGTGCGCGACGCGGCAGGCGAGCGGAACGACGAGTGGGAGGAGGGCGTGGTGGACGGGTTCGACGAGGCGGGCCGGCCCCTCGTGCGCAAGGCCGGCTGGGACAAGGCCTTCACGTGGGCGCGTGTTCGGTCCTTGAACGGCGCGGCCGGCGGCGGAGCCTCGCGCGGGGCTGCCCCCTCACTGCCGGCGGCCGGCGGCGGCCCCTCCCTCCGCGAAGCAGCCACGCCCGGTGCGGGGGCGGCGGCGGCGCGGGCGGCGTCGGCCAAGCGGTCGCGGCTCGCCCTCGAGGCGGGCGAGGAGGGAGGGGGCGTGGTGTCGCCGCCGCTGTACGCGGCGCGCAGCGCCAAGCAGCCGCGCCGCTCGTCGGCGGAGTACTCCGGTGCGGGCTGGGGCGGGGCGGGCGGTGCCCCCCTCGTGACGAGCAGCGCGAGCTGCCAGGCGGCGCAGCGGATCCTGCGCGCACTGGACGTGCTCGACGCGCCGCCGCCGCGGACGGTGCGAGAGCCTCCGCCGGGCAGGTGCGCGCAGGGTGGGGCGAGTGGAGCGAGCGGCGGGGTAGTGGGGCAAGAGGCGGGGTTGGAGGGCAGGGGGGGAAGGCGGGGCTGGGAGGCGCACTCGCTGAGCCCTCACATCTCCCCGCGCGCAGGGTTGGCCCCTTGGCCATCGGGGCGGCCCCGGCCCCGGCCCCGGCCGACGGCGCCTCGGCGCCTTCCCTCGCCCTCATCGCCGAGCCTCCGCCTCCAAAGTCGTCGCGCGTTGACTCGGTGCTGCCTCGGCTGCCGCCCGCGCCAAAGGCAGGCGCGGCAGCCGAGGCCCGCCCGCCCGCCGCGCCCGCGCCAACGCCTCCCGCGCCCGCCGCGCCGGCGCCGGCGCCCGCCGCCGCAACATCCGCGAGCCTCTTCGGCGGCGTCAAGTTTGGCGCGGAGAAGCCTGCTGCGCCGCCAGCGCCGCCGGCCGGCAAGGGCGAGGGCGAGGGCGCCAGCTCGCAGAAGGCAGCGGCGCCGCCACGCTTCGGGCAGCCACCGTCGGCGGCGGCGGCGCCCAGCATCTTCTCGCCCGCCGCGGAGCCTGCTCCGGCGCCCCAGCCACCGGCGACGAGCTCGCTCTTCAAGTTTCCGACCACGCCGGCCGCGCCGAGCGCCGCGCCGAGCGCCGCGCCCAGCGCCGCGCCCAGCTTCCAGTTCGGGACTTCTGCGGCTGCGGCCCCGAGCGCAGCATCTCCGGCGTCGGCCGCGTTTGCTGCGCCCGCGCCCGCGCCCGCCGCGGCGAGCGGCGAGGCGGGGAAGACGCCGGCCCCGGCCCCCACCGGCGGGTTCCGCTTTGGCTGCTCTCCGAGCCCGCTCGCGGCGACGTCGACGCCACTCGGCGCGGGCCCGGCGGTGACGCCTTCGCAGCCGGCGCAGGCTCCGACCCCGGCCTCGGCGGCGACTGCGTCGGTGGCGAAGAGGCGAGCCGCTTCGCACGCAGTGCCCGGGCTCCGAGCCCGCTCCTCTGCTCTCACCGGCCCTTGCCCCCCGCCGTCGCCACGCGCAGGCGCTTCTCCTTCACGCCGACGCAGGGGCGCAAAAAGTCCTCTACGCCCGCCGCCGCGCGCGAGCCCAGCCCGCTCATCTACAACTTCACTAAGGACCGCAAGCCGGCGGCGTGCGCAGCTCACGGCGCGGCGGCATCGCCGTCGCCGCTGGCGAAGCCGCCCGCCGCCGCGCCCGATGCCGTGCCCGCCGCCGCGCCCGCACCCGCTGCGGGCGGCCTCTTCAGCTTCGGAGCAAAGCCGGCCGCCGGAGGAGCGACCGGAGGAGTGAGTGCGAGCGACGGGCCGGGCCGAACCTTTGGCAACACTCCGCTCTCGAAGCAGTCGCCGCCACCGCAGCCCTCCCTCCCGTTCACGTTTGGCGCCGCCGCGGGCAGCGGCACTGGCGCCGCCGCGCCCGCCTCTTCTACACCGGCAGAGGCGCCCGCGCCGGCCGCGCCCGCGCCTTTCGTCTTTGGCGGCGGCGGCGGCGGCGCCTCCTCCGGGGCGGCGGCGTCGGCCACGCCGGTGCGCGCTGCCTTGGCCCCCAGCCCCCCCCCCCCCCTCCCCCCTCCCTCTCCCCCTTGCCCAAGCTTTCCCCCCTCCTCCGTCCACCCCTTCCTCAGCCCCTCATTCTGCCCTTCTCCTCACGCACCCCTGCTGCCCCTCCCCCCAGTTCTCGTTTGGCTCTGCCGCGCCGCCCGCGGCCACCTTCACCTTCGGCGCCCAGGCGGCCGACGCCCCCGCGCCAACCTTTGGGGCTGGCGCCGCCGCGCCGATCTTCGGGGCTGCAGGCGGCGCCTCCGCGCCAACGTTCGGAGCTGCTGGCCCCGCCGCCGCGCCCGTGTTTGGAGCCGCTGGCGCCGCCGCTGCGCCGACGTTTGGGGCCGGCGCCGCGACTGCGCCCACGTTCGGAGCTGCTGGCGCCGCCGCGGGCGGCGTCTTCAACTTCGGAGCTGCTGGCGCCGCCCCCGTCCCTGCTCCGGGCGCGGCGGCGCCGGCCTTCACCTTCGGGTCGGGCGGCGCCTTTGGGTCTGGGGGCGGTGCGCCGTCGTGAGGCGGAAGGAGCTGGCAGGCGGACAGCCCGGCAGGCTGCATCCGCTCCCCGGTGCTCCTCCCTAGGTGCGCCCTCCGCAGCGGCGGCCACTGGCACCGGCGCCGGCGATGTTGCCGGCGCCAGTGCCGGCGCCAGTGCCCGCGCTGGGTCGGGGGCCGTCCGGGTCCGCCTCATCAAAAGGGCGGGGCGGGGCGGGCCGCGGTAGGAGGCGCGGGCGGCCTGCAGAAGGCGCGGTGGGAAGGGAAGGGAGGGGAGGCTCGTGGCCGACGGGCTGCCAAGCGGCCGACAGGCAGGCATGCATGTGTGCGGCGGAAACCCGTTGCTATGAATGAAGGGGGCCACGGAGATCTGTCGGGCGGGGCCCAGACCCCAGACTCCGTCTCGGTGGACTGCGCCCCCCGAGCGAGCCACTACGCGCTGCGCCTGCGGCTCGTCTGGCGCTGTGGGGAGCGTGAAGTTGTGTTCTGAACTTCTGTCGCCCGCGGCTGTCGGTAGAGCTCCTTTTCATAAGTTCAGTGCACAGCAAAGGGGCGCGGTCACACACATATGCACTTGCGAGCGACAGCGCTGACTGTATCAAAGGCGAACCATGGTCGAGGTCGAGATCCGGACTCGGTGCCGAAACACTTCCTCTCGCAGCCCATCTGCCACGGCCAGATTGGCCGCATGCGCCGCAAAGGAGCCCAACGCAACCTCGTGTTCGATCGTGCGCTGCCAGCGCCTCCGCCGGCGGAGCCGCCGCCGCTCGGCAAGCTGCGCGGGCTGGAGCACAACAGACCGCACGCAGCAGCCGAGCGCCGGGCAGGTCAGACAGCCGCAGCACGCGAGGGTCGGCAATACCTCGGCACCCGGTGGGAACTCGAACGCTGTGGTAGTGCAGCAGAGCTGCAACCGCGCCGCCACCGCCATTCCGGGCGACGGCGTGCAAGCGGGCGCTGGGCAAGCCGCTGCGCTGCAGCTGGGCGCTGAGCACGCGCTCACTCGTCCCTCCCACCCGCAACCTCGGCCTCTCGCCTCGCAGAAGGGCATGCACGCGGGCGCGAGGCCGGCAAGAGCGCAGCCGCAGCCACAGCAAACGATGGCGTCGATCGGTTGGACGGTGGCGGGAGCGGGACCGGCAGTGGCTGCAGGCGGAGGTGCCGTAGCGGGAGGAGGGCTTGAAGCGGCGTGGGTTATGGGCGTTCCGGTGACCACAGGGGCGCCGATCGAGACCGACGTCGATGTAATCGGGACACCCACCGCAATGGCTGAGGTGTCCATTGCAATTGGGGGCTGCCCTTGTCAACTCCAGGCTGCGCTCTCCGGGCAAGCTCTCCCTTCTCTCTCGGGAACGCCGCTTTTTGCGAAGAAGAATCTTACAACAAAACTCCCTCGCACAACACTGGGCACGGGACTGGCGCGCACTGGCACGAACACAGGAAGAAGAATTGTGCGTAACCTGGTTTAGCCCCCGCCAACTCTATTTGATATCGAGTAATCTCGGGTAATCTCGGGTGATGATTTGATCTCGTGTAGCGAGCCTGAGCGAGCGCGCTCGCGCGTGCACTCACTCACTCACTCACTCACACACGCACGCACGCACACAACACAGTGTTAGAGTTGTTTGGTATTGCTAAAAATCTCTCTCTCGCACACACACACGCACACACACGCACACACACACACACACACACACACACACACACACACACACACACACACACACACACACACACACACACACACACACACACACACACACACACACACACACACACACACACACACACACACACACACACACACACACACACATTCTTAGTTATCTCGGGTAATCTCGGGCAATCTGGAGTAATGTTGAGTAATCTCAGGGGGTGAGCTCGCGCATGCGAGCGCGCAAACACAGGCGAAGCAAGGGCGCGACTGCGTGGCTTAATTTAATTATTCATCTTGGGCAACCTCGAGTGAAGTTGACCTCGCGTAGCGTACGATATCCCACGTCCTGACCTAATTAATTAATTAATTAATTAATTAATTGTGTATTGTATTCCACGTCGGGTGTTCGTAAGTATTCCAGGAGCGGAGCGAGGCGCGGGCGGTGCGAGGCGGCGGCGCAGGTGCGCGGCTCGATTTAATTGTTAACCTTGGGTAACCTCGAGTAATATGAGTTCGAGTAATATGAGCTGACCTCGCGTACTGTATTCCACGTCCTGACCTAATTCATTAAGTAATTAATTAATTGCGTATTGTATTCCGCTTCGGGTATTCGTAAGTATTCCAGGAGCAGAGGAAGGCGCGGGCGGCGTGGCGGAGCTGTCTCGACTCAGTGCAGTGTACCACCACCCACGCTGTAGATGGATAGGGGAACCAATAGAACACAGTAGGAAGGGGATAGGGGAAGGGGGGAGAAGCTGTGAGAGACCCCGCCCGAATGCCCGCCTGCCCTGCCCGCCTGGCCGATAAGATCTCTTCACCTTCTCATTGGTGGAGTATAGCTATAGGTACGAGGGGGGTGTGGCAAGTCTCGCGAGTCTCGCCAGGGGCGCCTACCAACCTCGCTTGCGAGGGGCGTGTGGCATGTCTGAACGGACTCGTGAGGGGCGCCTACTTACCTCGTTTCGTCGACGCGGCGCTTCGTACACACAAACACCCCGCCGCATTCGTCGCCGGCGCGCGACACGTTCCCGTCGGCCGGACTGTCCTCGCCGAGTGCGTGCCGCTGAGGCGGGACGCACTCAGGGACAGTGCCGGCGGGACGCGGCTCGAGAGGCGGCTCCCGCGGAGGCACGGCTGGCACCCGTGGCGCGGGGCTCGTCTTCGGAAAGACCAGGATCGCTCTACTGGCAAACTTCTGGCTGACACGCGCGCCCCGTCGAGCCTTCGGCGGGCGCGCTGCGGTCGCACGCCTACCCAAGTCATATGCCACGGCGTGCGATCTAGATTCAGCACTTGGGCTGGACCAACAAGCCCTTAGACGGCTACTACAGCATGCTGAGGCCCCCCAACACCACTGGCACCGCAGACACGCCGTCGCCGCCGCCCCCCTCCGCCTCGCCCTCGCCCCCGCCCCAGCCCTCGCCGCCGCCCCCCTCCGCCTCGCCCTCGCCCCCGCCCCCCTCTGCATTGCCTTCGCCGCCGCCTGGCTACCTGCCCCTCAAGTCCCCGCCGCCACACCCCCCGCTCGTCCCGATCATCGCTCCTCCCCTCTCCCCCGTCCCCCCCACCGCCCCGGACTATCCTGCCGGCGCCGCCACCAAGGAGGTCACCATATTGCTCAGGGCAAAGAGCTGTCCCGGCCTATCCGGCAAGGTCCTCGCCGGGAAGCGGCTCGCCATCCCCTTCCCCGAGGTGTCCATGAGGTGCGATGGGGTCGAAGTGGGCCAGCGCCGTCGCCTTGCTGACGGGGACGACGTCGTCGTCACCATCACCATCCTGACCACTGACTCGAACCACGACTCGGTCTTGGACTCGGCAAGGGATCTCTTTCAAAGCCAGGAGTCCGCCACCGCGATCCTCGGCGTCGCGGTACAGCGCCCCACGCGGTGTGCCGGTCCGGTGGACGGACCTAACCCACAGATTTGGTAACAGGTGTTTTCGGGTGCAAGTATAGGCCAAAGGGTTGTGGGTTGCTCATGGAAGACGAGTCTTTAGCGTAAAACGGAGGGCGTAGCCGTAATCAGCGCTATGAAATTAGCCGGGAACGTATCTTGTAAGAGGTGTGGCGAAGATGATTTTTTTCGGGGGGGTACCCAGCCTGGACTGCGATAGCATACCTCTTTTTCTTCTCGAGCTCAGCGGGCAGCGGCGGGCAGGCAACACAGCCCGTGGGCTCGCAGTCGGCCATGGCAGAGCGACGGTGGTACGGCCTATTCCTGGCCTTAATATCGGCGGCAGCCTGTCAACCGACCATGGGCGCCTCAGCCAAGCGAAAAAGGCTTCCCGCCAAGCCACTGGTGACAGTTGGGAGAGGGCGATCGGCAGGTAGCTTCTCAGAGGCCTATGTCTTGCCCAGCTGGCGCCTCGGGCGGCGGACTACACGTCAACGACGACATGTTACAGGCAGCCTCAGACCATCCGGTCGACGGTCCGGTGGAGGATCAGGCCTCTACATCACGCTCAACGCCGGACCTTGCCTCCGTGGAGGCTGTCGGCAAGGCGGTGTTGACCTGGATCCCGCTGCTGCTGGGAGAGAACACGGACGACGTCGTAGCAGCCCTCAAGGAGCCACCTACGCTCACTGGCGAGGCCGTAGCCGCTATCTACCACCACATCTTCAAGGGCAAGGCGAAGGGTCGGCGGCTAAGCTGCGACCAAAATGGCCGCGAGCGCACCCCTGGGCGCGCCTTGTACCACTGCCTGTTGGCGATGGACGCGGAGCTGCCGCCGCCGTCGGATCTGACGCCGAACGAGATGAACGCTTTCGCGGGCCGCGTCTGCAAGCTCTTCCCGCCGTACATCAGCAGCAAGAACGAGATCATGAGGTACGCCAAGAGCGGCGGCAGAACTGCCGCCGCCTCGGCTGCTACCCGCCTCGCCGCCTTCATCGAGGCTCGCGCGGCGCCGGCGGGTGAGGACCTCAAGGCGCTGCTGCCCGAGCGGCTGCGGCCGCCCGCCGACGCCGCCTCGCCCGCGACCAACGGCCAGGAGCGGCAGCGGCCAGACGAGCCTTCGCCGGGCGGCGCTGGCGTGCTGGACTTTGCGGCGGCGGCGGCGCAGGCACCGGCCGTCGATCCACACTCTCCCGCCGAGGCGACAGAGTCACCGCCGGAGGGGGGCGGCGACCCCCCCGACGGCGGCCCGCCGGCGCAGAGCGACGACTCGTCCCCCGCCGAGGGCGGGGGGCGTGTGCACGAGCTCGAGCTGGCGCGGAGGCGCGCCGTTGAGGAGCTCAAGCGGGAGAAGGAGCGGCACGCCGCCACCGAGGCGCAGCGGATCGCGGCCGTCGCCACGGTGCACGCGCAGGAGATCAAGATCATCAGCTACGAGTCGCGGCGTGAGGCGCGGGAGCACGAGCAGCGCGAGCGCGAGACCGAGTGCGCCCCGCTGCTCGGGCGCATCCTCGAACTCGAGGCCGAGGCGGCGGCGGCGGCGCAGGAGCACACCGCCGCCGTCGAGACGCTAGAGCGGCAGCAGGGCCGGCTGGTCCAGGCGGCCCTCAACGAGGAGACGAGGCTCCGTCTCAACGAGGTGAGCGAGCGGCGCCAGCGGCTGCAGGCGGAGCTGACCGAGGCGCGGAAGCTCGCGAGCACCGCGGTCAAAAAGGAGAAGAAGGCAACGGCAGAGGCGGAGGCGGAGCGGGAGCGCGCCGCCGAGGCGTTGGCGGCGAGGGAGGCGGCGCTTGCGGCTGCAGCCGCGGCGCAGAGCGCCGCGACGGGCGCGGAGGAGCTGCGGACCGCGCTGGCGTCGGTGTCGGAGCAGCTGGCGGCTGCGAAGAGCAAGATCCGGTCGCTCGAGACCAAGGCCGGCATCGCTTGGAGCAAGGCGGCCGAGCCGCCGAGCCTCGCGTCGCGCGAGGGCGCGCGGTCGCTGGAGGCGAAGCTGCAGGACGCTCTCGCCCGTATTGAGACGCTTGAGCAGGAGCTCGCCTCCCACCGCGGGCGGGGCAAGCGCGAGGCGGCCGGCCGCGGCGGCGGGACAGAGTACACGGTCTCGTTCAAGAAGCTCAAGTCGGACGGCTATCGCCTCGATCCGTACGTGCAGGACATGATGAGGCGGCTGTGCGAGTGCTGCAACATGACCTTCGAGGCCGCGGCGATGGCGAACGACCTCATCATCGCGATGCACACGCGCTCCGAGGTCACCGCCGGCATGCAGATCAACGCGACGAACGTCAAGAATGCGTACTTGCGGCTCGGCTGCCTCGATGACTTTCTAGAGAGGCAGGTGCGCCAGGCGGCGCCGGGCATCCACTACGCCATCGCGGCGGACGCTGGCAACAAGGAGGGCGGCGAGAAGCAGATGATCATGTTCTCGATGTGGGAGAACGGCAAGCCGATCCTCGTGGTTGGCTCGGCTGCCGCCCTCTCGGGCGACCAGTCAGCGAGGAACGGGAGCGCCGTCATCATGGCCGAGATTGACCGGCGCGGCTTTGCGCCACGCGGCCTTGTGCAGACGCTGTCGGACGGCGCCGAGCCGGTCGCTGGCGAGAACGGCGAGATGCAGCGGACCATCAACAGCTGCCGCGAGGGCGCGCCCGTCGGTGCTCCGGTGCAGAGTGCCGTCAAGGAGACGTGCGCGATCCACGGCAAGGCGCTTGAGGAGAAGCACGGGCTCGAGGCGGGGTACCCGGGCACGTACCTCTGCGAGCTGACGCGGCTAGTTTGGGAGTGCTTCTCGGTGCGCGGCGGCAACAGCGCGCTCTTCCGTCGGATCTGGACGGCCGAGTGCGGCCTGCCGGGCAAGGTCTACGACCTCTGCCTGGGCAGCCTGCCCGAGCCGACCGAGTCCAAATGGCAGATCCTCTACGAG